TCAAGAAATATATATCTAGGTAAGGTTTATCTGAAAACAACTGATCTTTGCCCAAGATTTATCTACATGACACACAGTAATTAAAAGTAGCAGACTGGTAGAACTAAACTTCTTGGATGTTTAACAGACGTACTTTGAGACCTATAATAATTTGGTCAGAGGGACATAAAGAACGGTTTTTGCTCCTTTCCCTCCTAGGTTGACTAGTTCCAGGGGACTATGAGTGTCTCTCAAAATGTCCTCTAATTGTGGTGGGTCACCTGTCCTCTTGATCAAGGAGGCTGAGGAGACCCCACCAGATGGACTTGAACCAGTGACCAGTCTACAAAGAGGAGGGTCAACACAGAGGAATCATTTCCTCCATGATTCCAAGTGAAGCCAACCATGGTCGAGCAGGACCTTTCACTTATCTTCACATAGGTGGAACTGGTAAAAGAAAGGAGCCAGGGGCTCCTCCCAAGCCCATGTGACCCATGAGGAACAGATCCTCAAATGACCTTAAGAGTAAAAATAAATTGGTTTATCTTGGCCAACTGTATGGCCTTAAACACCCAAAAGGAAAGTATAACCAAAGATTAAAGGGGCCAATATAATCACTTGAGAGTCCATATGCATAGCTAAAGGCTACATAACAAGCAACAATGCTAGATGGGAGATATCTTCTTTTGAGTTGTTGGCTAGGGTGGCCAAAGGGACTCTCATATAGTAACCTAGCATAGAACTGGAAAATGAACAGCAGACCCCAACCTTATCTAAAGGAATATTGACAATTGATTGCTGCTAGATGAGTAACAGCTGACCCTCCTAAAACAAAGACCTCTAGATAGGCTGACTAGATCCACCAGAAGGGCAAGTAGTGGGGAATGGCTGGGGTGCTGACAACACAGCAGACAGTAACAGGGATATCAGAGTATAAAGGCTCTAGTGGGAGAAGGGAGGCTATGGGAGGGTGCCACCTAAGAAGTGGGTGTATAGTTAAATAAGATGGTTTGGGATGTTCTGTGTGATACGCACACACACATACACACACACACACACACACACACACACACGCACACACACAAAATCAAAAAATTAAAAAAAATGTATCATATTTGAGGAGGAAGCATGGAAATTTATGTCATGCAAATTAGTGGAGGTGATAAACATTACCACTGAAATCTACCCGATGACTTTATAGACATACACAGGCGCCAAGGATCCAAGTGCAACTGATTATGACTAGCAATAATCAGATGCATACAGATTAGAGATGCATGTGCCAGCATCTCGGTGTTAGTAGCAAAAACAATGAGTCTTTCTGCAAGGAACAATATGTCAATATATTCTAAAATGAAATGGAGGCTTAAATCTCATTCAATGTTATGTCTTACAGGGTCTATACTGAATTCAATGTTTTATAACTGTACTAATTCAACTGTGAACCTAAAAATTTACAGCCACTTTTGAAAGAGACATATCCTTACTCTGGAGTGTGTCACTGAATATGTTAAAGATGTAATAAAATGCTTCTTCTAATCATATGGTTCTTAAATTTTTTTTAATTAAAAAAATTCTTCAAAGCATAAAAATTTGCTCCTTAATAATTAATAGATGTGAAAAATATTACCATTGAAATCTACCTGATGACTTTATATCCATGCTCATATGCCGGGGAGCTCAGAAAGCAACCAACTGTGACTAGTAATAATCAGATATAGAGAGATTGGAATGTGTATCTTAATGTCAATTGCATTAAAAATGAATTTTTCTGCATGAAACTGTGTACTTTAATAATGAAATGGCGATCTTTTTTAAAGTTTACGTGGAAACATTTGGAATTTTTGCCTGGAAAAGCAGTTGAGTGCTTAGAGTTTGTTGCTGTGGAGCTTGGAACAGTTTTGCTGAAAGAGTTGTGGACAATGGAGGTCTGGCTTGTGAAGCTTCAAAGGGAAGCAGAGATTATCAGGGCTGTTTGTGTGATATTTTGAATTGAGAATCTGTGGGTTCTGATTGGCTAGGGCTGAAGAATCAGCTGTGATTAAGAAGAGACCAGAACCTGAAGTAAAACCTTTGCTTTACTGGAACAATTGATGCTGTTTAGCTGGGGCTGAAAAATCAGTTGTAAGTAACAAGAGACCAGCATCACTGTGACAAAATCTTCTGCGAAGTATTTCCTCAGGGTCAGCACACAGAAGCTCAACTCTCCATCTCAAGCTGGAAGCAGGACTTGGTAATGTGTAAGGGTCTCCTGCATGGTTCTGGTGTTGAAAGCATAAAGGGGTCACAGAGAGCAGCCTAAGCTTGGCATCTTGAGAGGCCAGGAAAAGTTATTGGTGAAAGTGCAACCTCAGTTGCAGTGAAGACCTTAGGACTGAAAAGGTCATGGAGAGAAATCATGAGTGAATCCCAGATAGGCAGTTTTGAACTACTTTGCTGGACTTGGGTTTTGCTTAGGTGTGCCCAATTCTTCCCTTTTGAAATAAGACAGTACTTGTTTTAGATTTTACAGGAGTCCATGATTAACAGACTTTTAAAAGAGACTATGGACTTTTAAGTGTTTGGATTTTTTAAGGATTGTGGGATTTTAAGGTTGTGCTGTCTTATGTTATGATATTGTTAACATCATATCTTGGGGACAAGAGATGGATTTAATAGTGATGTGTTTGTGTGTCAAGCTGACAAGAGGTAAATTGTGCTGGACAGCTTTAGTTGTCAGCTTGACACACCTGGGTAGAAGGAGCCTCAGTTGGGGAATTTCCTCCATTGAACTGGCCTGTGGTCATGCCTGTGGAGTATTTTCCTGATTGTTGAGTGATGTGGGAGAGCCCAGCCCACTGTGGGCGGTGCTACCCCTGGGCAGGTCATTTTGTATCGTATAAGAAAGGCTTAGCATGGGCCAGGGGAGCAAGCTAGTAAACTGCATTCCTCCATGGACTGTGCTTCAGCTCCTGCCTCTAGGTTCCTGTTCTGAGTTCCTACTTTGGGCTCCCATATGAACTATAACCCAGGAGATGTAAGCTAAATAAACCCTTTCCTTCCCAAGTTGGTATTGGTCAGAGTGTTTTATCACAGCAGTGGAGAACCAAACTAGAACACATAGAGAAAAAGAAAAAAAGGAGCCTTTCATTCTTTCATTGCTCACCAAACTCCTAGTCCCAGGTTTGAGAAGTGGCCAAGAGAGTTAAGGCAATTTCATGCCAAGTGGGCTTCATACTCACCCACTTACAGGCTGGAGTTGACACTTGAAAAAAATGAGAGAAAAGTTGGAAAAAATTAACTATTGACTACATAATATGACTAGTTGACCCAGTGACTAAGTAACCAATTTGCTTTATTTCTGGAAGAAATCCAGCATTTGATAATTAGAGTTTCTTTAAAAGTTGACTTTGTGAAAGTAGGTCACCACCCTTGGACTCTGTCTCCCTTTGTAAAAGAAGCATTCTAGTGTTTGAAGCACGTGGAATCCCATAAGAGGCACAGATTTCCCTGTTGTGCTCTGAATATGAAATGTTCTCCACAGCCTTCTATGCTGAAGTCTTGGTCCCCAGGTGGTAGCACTGTTTTTGGAGGTGCTGGAAGCTTTAGGAGGTGGTGCCTAGTGAGAGGGAGCAGGTCCCTGGGGCATGGCTTTGAAGGATGTATCCTGCTCTGGGCCCTTCCTCTCCTGGATGCTTCCTGGTCGCCATGAGGTGAGCACCCTTGTCTTCCATAAGCTCTTATGTCTGTGATGTCTGCCTTAGCATGGTCCAGAAGTGGAGCAGCATCTGATCAGGGTTGAAACTTCCGAAGTTACAAACCAAAAGCAATCTTTCATCTCCCCCTTTTTCTCAGACATTTAATCATAGCAGAAAAATATCTAATTTATATATTTCCTAATGCTCATTTACTTTGGGGGTC